TCCCATCATGACAGAGGGTGGAATTTAAATTCATTTAGTAAAATGTGAAAATGAAAGCCAGTCTCAGTAATGGCGACCGCAGAGCTATCATTGATTGTCACCAGTGCCCGCTAGGGAAGGTGGGGAGGCGATGGCCTAGTGCTATTATTGCCAGACTGTTAATCCAGAGACCCAGATAACATTCTGGGCTCCTGGGTTCAAATCTCACCATGGTAGATGATGGAATTTGAATTCAATAAATATCTGGAATTAAGAATCTAATGATGACTGTGAATCCATTGTCGATTGTTGGAAAAACCCATCTGGTTCACTAACATCCTTTTATGGAAGGAAACTGCCATCCTTACCTGGTCTGGCCTACATGTGACTCCAGACCCACAGCAATGTAGGTGACTCATAACTGCCCTCTGGGCAATTAGGGAGGGCAATAAATGCTGCCTGGCGAGTGACACCCTCATACCGTGAATGAAGAAAGAAAAAAACGTCTGCCATCCTTACCTGGTCTGGCCTAATGTGACTGCAGACCCACAGCAAAGGCGTTGCCCCTTTACAATTAGGGATGGACATTTAAATGGGCCACAGAACTTCCTGCAACACTTCAAAAGCACATCATTGGCAAAGTCGGCTCGGGTTCCAACCAGCTGCAAATAAAACATGGGAGGAGACAGGGTTGCCAACTCCTCACAGTTTTCCTGGAGCCTCCACAGATGAAAGATTCGACACCTGCTCACTGCTGTGAGTGACCCATAGAGCCACATAATTGTTTTTCTGAAAATCATTTTCCTTTGTAGTCGAGAAACCTCAGCGGGTCTGGCAGCATACAGTCATACAGCATGGAAACAGACCCTTTGGTCCAACTCGTCTGTGCCAACCAGACATCCCAATCTGACCTAGTCCCACTTGTCAGCATTTGGCCCATATCTCTCATCCTACTCATGTACCCATCCAAATGCCTTTTAAATGTTGTAATTATACCCGCTTCCACCAGTTCCTGTGCCAGCTCAGTCCATACATGCACCACCTTCTGTGGGGAAAAAGTTAACCCTCAGGTCTTCTTTAAATCTTTCCCCTCTCACCTTAAACATACGCTTTCTAGTTTTGGATTCCCCGCTTATAACCTCTATAAGGTTACCCCTCGGCCTCCAATGCTCCAGAGTAAAAAAGTCCCAGCCTATTTAGCCTCTCCCTATAACTCAAACCATATTGTCTCGGCAACATCCTGGTAAATCTTTCCTGCATCCTCTCAAGTTTAACAACGTCCTCCCTATAGAATGGTGATCAGAATTGTACTCGGTATTCTAAAAGTGGCCTCACCAATTGTACTCCGTATTCTAAAAGTGGCCTCACCAATATCTTGTACTGCCTCAACATGACTTCCCAACTCCGATATCCAACGCACTGACCAATAACACTACCTGCACTTCACTTTCAAGGAGCTATGAGCCTGCACCCCGAGGTTCCTCTGTTCAATAACACTCCTCGGGGCCCTACCATTAAGTGTATAAGTCCTGCCCTGGTTTGCCTTACCAAAATGTAACATCTCACATTTATGTAAATTAAACTCCAGCTGCCACTCCTCGGCCCATTGGCCCATCTGATCAAGGTCCTGTTGTACTCTGACATAACCTTCTACACCACCTATTTTGGTAGCATCTGCAAACTTACTAACCATGAATCCTTTATTCACATCAAAGTTGTTTATATAAATTACGCAAAGCTGTGGACCCACCACCGATCCTTGGGGTGCACTGCTGGTAACAGGCCTCCAGTCTGAAAAGCAAGCTACCCCAGCTCTGAACCTCTCTGTCCCAGACCTGCGAGGGACCTCTACTGTTTTTCATTTTATGCAGGATCCACACCCTCAACCAACACTTTTCCTCCATCCTATCAGACATCAAGAACCATAAGTACACCAAACTTGCTCACGCTGACCTCTTCCACCGCACTAGACACTAACACTATCTATGACCTCATTCTTAGTTTGCCCATGTGGTCGCCTCGGCCTAAAAGCCATCTGTTTCTTCCTCTCCCGCAGGCTCAAGCAGTCCCCCTCCATCGACACCCTCATCTACCTAACAGAATCTGTCCTTACCCTGAACAACCTTTCCTTTAACTCCTCCCACTTCCTAAAACTGAGGGGGTGGCTATGGGTACCCGTATGGGTCCGAACTATGCCTGCATCTTTGAAGGGTACGTGGAACAGTCCCTTTTCCGCTGTTACACAGGCACTGTCCCTCACCTCCTTCCTCCGCTACATCGATGACTGTATCAGCGCTGCTTCATGCTCCTGTGGAGAGCTTGAACAGTTCATCAACTTTACTAACCTTTCACCCCAACCTCAAATTCACCTGGACCATCTCCGATACCTCCCTCCCCTTCCTGAACCCCTCTGTCTCCATCTCTGGTAACCGTCTCAGCACTGACATCTATTTCAAACTCACTGACTCCCATAGCTACCTGGACTACACCTCCTCTCACCCACCCTCCTGCAAGAATGCGATCCCTTACTCCCAATTCCTCCACCTCTGCCGCATCTGCTCACAAGATGGAGCATTCCACTCCCAAACATCCCAGATGTCCTCCTATTTCAAAGACCTCATCTTCCCCTCTCCAGTCATCAAAATTGCCCTCACCCGCATCTCTTGCTTTTCCCGTACTTCTGCCCTCAACCCCCCCCCCCCCCCCCAACAAAAATAAAGACAGAGACCCTCTGGTCCTCACATACCACCCCACCAACCTCCGCATCCAGCACATCATCCTGTGCCATTTCTGCCACCTATAATCCGACCCTACCACCAAAGAGATATTTCCCCTCCCCAGTCCTTTCTGCTACTCGTAGGGACTGCTCTCTCGTGACTCTCTCATCCGTTCCACACTCCCCACGAACCCCACCTGCCCCTACACCTTCTCCCCTCCCCCACCCCCCCCCCCCCAACCTCCATCCCAGGCCCAAGACAATCTTTCCATATCTGAAAGGGGTTCAGCAGTACATCCTCCAACCTGGTCTACTGTATCCGTTGCTCCCGATGTGGCCCACTCTACATTGGTGAGACCAAGCGCAGACTTGGTGACAGACTTGGTGACAGATTTGCAGAGCATCTGTGCTTTGTGCACTATAATCAACAACACCTTCCGGTCACTAACCATTTTAACTCCCCCTCCCACTCCGTGGGTGACATGTCCATCCTGGGCCTCCTCCAGTGTCACAATGATGCCACACGCAGACTGGAGGAGCACCTCATATTCCGCCTTGGGAGCCCCCAGCCTGATGGCCTGAACATAGAATTTACCAGTTTTAAAACCTCCCCATCCCTGGCCTCATCCCATGTCCAACCCTCACTCTCATCCCTGCCTCCTTGACCTGACACTACCTGTCCATCTTCCCCCCTCCCCCCCCAACCTATCTGCCCCAGCCTTCCCACTGACCAATCCCCACTGCCCCCTTTCACCTATCCTCCTCCTACCTACCTTCCCCCAGCCCAACCCCCTCCTCCCTCTAATTATTTCCCAGCTCCCATCCTCCTCCCCAGTTCTGATGAAGGATCCTGACCGGAAACATCGACTTTCCTGCTCCTCTGCTGCTGCCTGGCCTGCTATGTTCCTCTAGCACCGCACTGTATTGACCCTCTACCACAATCTTCTGTCTCCTACCATCGAGCCAATTTTGTATTCAATTGTCCAGCTCCCCCTGGATCCCGTGTTAGCTAATCTTACTCACCGGTTACCATGTGGAACCTTGTTGGACACTTTGCTGAAGAAAACATCCAGTGCTCTGCCTTCATCCATCGTCTTTGTCACCTCTTCAAAGAAAACTCAATCAAGTTAGTGAGACACAATTTCCCAGGCACAAAGCCATGTTGACTATCCTTAATCTGTGGAGAGAAAAACAGAATTAATGTTTCAATAACCAGTGACCCTTTATCAGAACTCTGACTGGACTCTGGACAATGTTAGCTCCGTTTTTCTCTACAGATTCTGCCAGATCTGCTGAGTTTCGCCAGCACTTTGTTTTTTTTTTCAGCATCCGCAGTTCTTTGTTTTGATTTCTTTATGCATTTTCATTAACCATTTGTGCATGCTGCAGATACAGTGGGTATGACGAGACCTGACTGGGTACAGGCATGAGGTTAGTATTGAAACCGCCTGGGAAATGTCTAGACAGAGTTGGCATCGCTGGAGCGGGAAGCTTAATGTGACAATTGGATAAGTTGCTGACACTTATTAAATAGGTTCTCACGAGAAGGGTGGGTGAGGTTTAGATGACTGTGGGTTTCTGTGGAATTCTTTGCAGGAATGAGCCCAGTGCCCTTGGGATGGGAGCCGCAACTGGGAGCTAAAATAATCAAGGAGAGAGAGAATGAAGCTATCAAGGATGCGGTTGCTGTGCTGATCTCGAGAACTTCACAAAACTAATCCCACCTGCACCCCTCCCCCCACCAAGTCTCACAGAAGGGGAAACAAAAGGCCAAATTTCGATAACGTTTGATTGTTTTGGGGGTTTATTAAATACAAGATTGATGTCTGATCTGCACGTTGTTGAAGAAGATTCTCTTGTAAAGTGTTAAATGTTCAGGCTTGGCTGCAGTGAGAAAAATGCACTGCTCCACCCTCGGGGGGATTGATTAGTGCCAGATGCTGGATGAGTTCTTAAAGTGGAAATTGTATCCCGGTTTGAATTCTGAGGCATTGATCCTTTTCCTGTGTCAGCTTCTGCTTTTGCACAATTGGATGGGCCTTCTGGAGACACCCCGATTAGACACGCTGCCTCACTGAGTGCAGCATTTCACAGAAACCAAGTGCTTGCTTGTTATATGATTAAGCTGTGTCGGACATGGTTAAAAATAAAGATCGCAGTGTGGTGTATGTTGCTGTGACTACAATCTTTAAAGTAAAACTGTCTGGGTCAAAACAACCCAGAACCTAAGTTTCAGAGATGTTACTGAGATTTTGTTTTGGCTTTGAAGTAGAAGAGACGAGCGTAGAAAATCTGTTTTTAACCTATGCTTGGATGGTATATGGGCACTTTGGCTGATCCAACATGAATCACCCATCCTTAATTGCCCTTGAGGTAATAATAAACTGCCTTCTTAAGCTGCTGCAGTCTATTGGTGGAAGCAGGGTGTGGCAAGTGTTGGGGAGGGAGTTTCAGGATTTTGACCTGGCCACAGCGATACAGTTCCAGGTCAGGATGGTTGGGGAGAGTTGAATCTTGCCGGTGATGGTCTTCCCATGAAAATGGATAAGCTTAATAATAGATCATTTTTTTCTCAGAAATGTGTCTCTGCTTCGAGGAGGTTGGGAAGAGAGAGAGCAAGAATTGCTGTATGAGTTCTGAAAGTTGGGAATGATCCAAACGTATTGTCCCATAAAATTATGCACAGAATATTAAGACTCCCACATTCTCTCAGCAAAACGTAAGCTAAGTGGACACTTGGACAGTTTGATCTGTCCCATTTTTGTTTGCTTTATTTGACCTAATTTGTTGTTCACTTGCTGGCCAAACGTGCTCATTTGCTCAGCTGATGATTGATCTGGTTATGTATATTCCTCTGTATGTAAATGTATTTTAAGGAAAGCCTTACAATGGCAGGGCAGTATTTGGTAGATAACCACATTCTGTGCTGCAAATTCTGTAACACACGTGGAAGGCTAACCCTGTGATGGGCCGAATGGAAATATTCAGAGAATTTCTACCCTAGGGCCAGCATTTTGAATAATTCTGAATGGATCCACCCTCTGAGCTACTTGTTTGTTTCTCTGGTCTTGTTCATGTTGCCAGTGTAGATTTGAATGGGTGCTTTTTTCAGTGCCAGACTCCTTTCAAAGGCCCTGAAGAGTATTAATAATTACAATTGCTCTTATTTTGAGTACCCATTTTGGACCTGGTACCTGCCATGACTGATTTTTCCCTTTATGCCATAAGGTGCAGGACGGCTGTGGGCTGCAGATATCTCTGTATATTGATTAGTGTTTTCTGATTCACTGATTTGAAAATACAATTCCACAAGCAAAGGTCAGCCTTTTCATTCAGCCTGAGAGAGCATGTGTCTTTCCACTGGACTTTACTACAAACCTGACAACTCCGACCTTTTTCCGTGCAACGCTTCTTGCTTCTCCATCTCTGTCACAACGTTATGTTGATAATACTTGCTCCATGCCAGACCTGTCGAAACATTCATTTTCTTCCCCAGCCAGGGATTCCTCTTGACCGTAAAAACCAAAAGAACTGCGGATGCTGTAAATCAGGAACAAAAGCAGAAGTTGTCGGAAAAGCTCAGCAGGTCCGGCAGCATCTGTGAAGAAAAAGTCAGTTAACATTGCGGGTCCTTCTGAGGAAGGGTCACCGGACCCGCAACGCTAAATCTGACTTTTTCTTAGCAGATGCTGCCAGATCTGCTGAGCTTTTCCAGCAACTTCTGTGTTTATTCCTCTCTACCATAGTCAGCAAGACCCTCAACCCAGTCCGTGACATTTCCCACCTTCAGGAATGCACACTTTACTTTCGCAATCATGATCATGAGGGTAGAGATAAGGTGAATAGCAGGTGTCTTTTCCTTAGGGTGGGAGATTTCAAGGGGGCATATTTTTAAGGTGAGAGGAGAAAGATTTAAAAAAAGACATGGGGAGGGGGTGCAATTTTCTTTTCCCAGAGAGTGGTTCATGTGTGGAATGAACTTTCTGAGGAAGTGGTGGATGCAGGTACAGTTATAATGTTTAAGAAATGTTTGAATAAGTACATAAATAGGAAAGGTTTGGAGAGATATGGGCTAAGCACAGGCAGGTGGGACTAGTCTAGGTTAGCATGGACTGGTTGGACCAAAGGGTCTGTTTCTGTGATGTATGACTTTATGACTCTATCCAGGCTTTGCTATTGACGGATCATCATCCACCCTCCCATCTCTCAAGGACATCAATGTAGTGGCGATATCAGTCGGCTAATAATCCAAAGCCTTTGAGTCCTCTGATATAGGTTCAAATCCCACCTCGGCTGCTGGTGGAATTTAAAAATTCAAATCAATAAAATCTGGAATTGAACTTGTGTTCATGACAATGATTGTTAATTGATGTAAAACCCTAAATGGTTCACTCATGTCCTTTAGAGAACAAAACCTGCCACCCTTGTCCAGCCTGGCCTACCAGACTGGAATGAGCACATTGCTTTACGAGGAGAGGTCAGACAGGGCTGGGCCTGTTTCCACTAGAGTTTAGAAGAGTCAGAGGTGACTTAATTGTAACATTATAAAATCCTGGGGGGATTTGACCGATTGGATGTGGAATGATGTTTCCTTTTGTAGGAGAATTGAGAACTAAGGGTCCGAATTTAAAAATAACGGAGCTCTGATGGTTGAGAGTCTTTGGAATTCCCTTCCACAAAAGGCAGTGGATGTGAAACCTCTAAATATTTTTTAAAGTAGAGGTAGATAGATTCTTGTTAACAAGGGGATGAAAGGTTATTGGGGAAACACTGGAATGTGGAGTTGAGGTTAAAACCAAATCAGCCACAATCTTATCAAATGGCTTAAGGGCCGAGTGACTTATTCTTATTCTGCCTTTATATGTTCGTACGTGCGTCTCCAGACCCAGCGCAATGTGGTTGACTCTGAACTGCTCTCTGAAATGGCCTGAGAAGCCACTCAGCTGGCCTTGCCAGTGATGGGTCACATCCTGTGAAGGAATATATTTTTTAAAAATTTGATTATATCCGTTCTGATTCCCGCCATGAAGCCCATTTTCCCTTCCCTCCAGGCCCCCTGCATAGGGACTATTCCCCATGACTCTACCATGACCCCTATCATTTGCCATCTGTAATAACTGGCACAGAGGCTGGTATCCCATCAACATGTCACCCTTTATTTACATGTGTGCAGTACACTGGCTGTGACCAGCCAGCTCGGAGTCAGTCCCTCAAGTAAGGGGATTCTTTGAATCCTTGTTTGTATCTGTCAGCCAGGACTCCCTGATTAGCCCAGGTTAACAAACCCAATCAAGGGTCTCATACACTACACTACACAGTCCTTCTCATGTGAACGCAGGAGATTAACACCTGCTCCTTTACCTTGTCTAACTCTACTTTCCAGGGCACAATCTCACCCTCTTCCTGGCTGAAGAGGCAATTTGTGTTTCCATCTTCTAGCCAAGTAAAGCTGCACTCTGTGCTTAAGGTTCGGAATTCTCTTCATGAAAGAAGCCAAATGCAGTTTTCTTAACAAGTATGACCTCAAGTTAGGTAGCTCTCAATTTCAACAGAGTTCGTGTCCAAACTATTAACTGTTCTCTCCCCAGATTCTGCCTCATGTGCTGAGTGTCTCCAGAGTCTTCTAATGCAAGAGAGCTGAACTGTTGCATTTATTCAGGTTGCCATTATAGTTATTCATCTGCACAGCATTTAATCACAGATGCTAGGTTATGTTTTAAAAAAAACTGACTGTAAATTTCTACTGGTCAGAAGTGCAGGTGACGGTGTGCTAACTAAATTATGCCTCACAACGTTTAATATTGATCAGAGGAATACTTTATAAAATACATCCAGGCATAGATAAATTGCAGATGCAGTTTCAGAATATAGGACTCCATGCATTCAAATGCTCACGCATCGTTGCCAATGTCCTTAATCCTCGTCACTCCTATTGCTATACACTTGCACCAGTAGATGGAACTTCTTAAGCTTCACACCCTTAGACCAATAAGAGTGCTGCAGGTCCTCACAGCTCCAGTACGCTGCCAGTTTCTATAACCTTAGCCCTTGGAAAGTAGGTTCACCATTGTCCTCCCATGGTCCCACTTCTAAGATTAAGTAAATTTGTTTTCAGAGTGCACTTTCCCTCATGCGAATGTACCAGGTGCCACGCAGCTCAGATTGAATCATCTGACTGGTAACCTTGGCTCAATGGCCAAGTGGAATTGCTTGCTGCGCCAACTTGTAAAGTCTGTGAGATTTTCCTACAGCATCAGTTCTTGCTGAACTGTCGGTTCGTAATCATTCAGCTTTAGTAGCTAAGCAATCCCATAGCAGCATTCCTACTTCTAACCAGGCTGAGGCCATCCAGTTTCTTCTCATGTTAAAGTGCAAAATGGAAAAGTCTGCATGGAAACCCAAGATTTTTTTCGCAGTTTAATAGCATCACCCTGTTGCGGACATTGTTAAGACCATAAGGCATAGGAGTAGAAGTTGGCCGTTCGGCCCATCGAGTCTGCCGTGCCATTCAATTGAGATCATGGCTGATTTGATAATCCTCAACTCCACTTTTCCTGCTTTATCCCCATAACCCTTGATTTCCTCTTTGAGATGGACAGATTTTTACTCAACGCTGAATATATTTAACAGCCTCAATAGCCCTCTGTAGAAGACTTCCACAGATTCGCTATGTTCTAAGAGAAGGAATTCCTTCCCCTCTCAGTTTTAAACGTGTGACCCCTTACCCTGAGATTATGTCCTTGGGCCTAGACTCTCCCACAGGGAGAAGCAAGCTCTCCACCTCTAACCTGTCAAGTCCCTGAAGAATCTTGGATGTTTCAATAAGGACACTTCCTATCCTTGCCAAACAAGCACTGGAATGAAGCTATATTTTTTCTTTCTTCATTCTTTCATGAGATGTAGGTATTTATTGCACATCCCAAATTGCTGTTGACCTGAGGAACATGGGACGGGTGTGAATTAAAACAAGGGCAACAGAGTTTTAAAAGACCTCAGATTGACAGAACAAGAGCAAAGAACAGTACAGCGCAGGAACAGGCCCCTCGGTCCTCCAAGCCGTACTAAAATTGTCTTCACTTACAGGTTCTGTGTTCCCTCTATTCCCTTCCTAATGATGTATTTGTCCAGGTGCTTCCTTAATGCTGCTATTGTGTCTGCTTCCACCACCACCTCTGGCAGCGCATTCCAGGCACTCACCACGTTTTGTGTGAAAAACCTGCCTAGCACTTCTCTTTTAAACTCCTCCCCACTTGCACCTTGAACCTGTGTCTCCTAGTAATTGACCCCTCCACCCTGGGAAAAAGCCTCATACTTTCCACTCTATCCATGCCATTTGCAATCTTTTAAACTTTTATGAGATCACCCCTCAACCT